GCTTAGTGAGTTGTGAACCTCATTAAATTTTACTCTAATATTTTTTAGATTAAGAAGAACTAAAATAATTGTCAGACGAGTGAAGGATATACGAAAGTTTTCTAATAAGTGTACATTTTGTTCTTATTTTGTATATATAAATGTTGTATGTATCACAATAAATATTTTATTTTATATTAAACTTTTAAGTTACGTATATGTATGAATTGTGGGCTCTATTAACTGAAAAATGATATGAGTACGTTCACGTCTTATTAGTAGGATTCGGGGCGTTACATAATTGATATTGCCATACATATTTTATGATTATTAATTAAGTATTTAATACACACGCGCGCGCGATTAAGTAATCTACATATTATAAATATAAATAATAAGAATAAAATTAAGGTGAGAATACTTATAGAAGTATAAATTTATTTGAATACATGATTTATTATATAAAAATAATGTATCAATTATTAAAATAAATAATAGTTGACGGATATTCTTGAATTCTGAATAATACATAATGTACATAAGATTTTGGGAAAAAAAAAAAAAATTTTCGTCACAATCCCTAATTAAATAATCATATTATAATTTGTTACTATTATATACATTTTTTTATTTTTTAAAACTAATAGAAACTTTTTATTTTTCTAAATTATTTCACATCATATACTTACCCTTAAATTGATTATACTAAAATTGTTATAATATATTTTGCTTTATAAAATCATAGTATTTGTTTAGTAATATATTTAAATTGTAAAAATTTATCCAAATATTGATTAAATATTAAAGTCGAGTCAAAACGGTTACACCCAGCCAACTCACCGAGTGAAACGTGAAGGCGACTCGGCGAAGCTCTCCGAGGCCCACCCAAGTCGCCCACATTGTGAAGGTATCTCTATACGGCGACTGGATATAAAGAGGAACAACAGTATACAGACAGGGAGAGAGAAAGAAGAGAGAGGGGATCCGAGAAGCGCGAGAATTGCTAGTTGCCCCCAGAAAGCTCCAAACAAAAAGAAAATAATAATGATAACAGCACAAAGAAGAACAATGGCAGCAACGGAAACAGAAACAACAGCGACATTTCTTTCTCGCATGTAAATGATAATCAAACAACCAAATTCGTATTTTGGAAACCCTAATTTCAAATTTCTCAATTTCTCTCTCTCTCTCTCTCTCTCTCTCTTTTCTATTTGTCGATAATACACATGCACGCGCGTGTGTATATGAACATGTGGTCTCTCTTTGTAGATTCTGCGAGTGTGTGGAATGCAATAATTGATCAGCCTCTCTGACTCCGTTCTATTTCAAATTGGACTAGTTATACCTCGAGTTTTGTCTCTCTCGCGCTTTTGAATTTGAGGAGTTTTTGTTGGAAATGGAGGCATTGGCAGAGCTGTGCGACATTATAGCGCAAAACCCGAGTCAATTCTCGGAGAAGTTATCATGGATTTGCGGGAGGTGCCCGCAGCCCGAGCTGCTCAACGGTGA